CGCTAAGGCGCCTTATTGCCTCGCACCGCCAAAGATGTAGGAGTTATCCTCGCAGCTTCAGGAGCTGTTGGGAAGGGGATATATTCGACTGAGTAGCTCACCTTGGGGAGCGCCGATCCTTTTTGTCAAAAAGAAGGATGGTTCACAGCGGATGTGTATTGATTACCGGGAGTTGAACAAGTTGATGGTCAAGAACCGGTATCTGTTACCGAGGATCGATGATCTGGTCGATCAGTTGCAAGGGGCATCTTGGTTCTCCAAGATAGACTTGAGGTCGGGTTATCATCATATGAGGGTTCGGGATGAAGACATCCAGAAGACTGCATTTAGAACTCGTTATGGGCATTACGAGTTTGTGGTGATGCCTTTTGGGCTCACCAATGCCCCATCCGCATTCATGGATCTCATGAACAGGGTGTGCAGGCCGATGTTGGATCGGTTGGCGATCGTATTCATTGATGATATTTTGGTATATTCAAGGTCTAGAGAGCAGCATGAGGAGCATTTGAGGGAGATCCTTGGAGTTCTGAGATCGGAGAGGCTATATGCCAAATTCTCCAAGTGTGATTTCCGGTTACGAGAGGTCCAGTTCCTAGGGCATTTTGTTAACCAGAAAGGGATATTGGTCGATCCGGCCAAGATCGAGGCGGTGATGAGATGGGAGGTGTCGAGATCACCCACTGAGATCAGGAGCTTTCTGGGATTGGCTGGCTATTATCGGAGGTTTATTAAGGATTTCTCCAAGATCGTTGTGCCACTTACTAAGATGACCCGGAAGGGTGTTGCATTTTCATGGGGTCCGGAGCAGCAGTCCTCATTTGAGACACTTCGCCAGAAGTTGTGCGAAGCCCCGGTGATCGCACTCCCGGAAGGGATGGAGGATTTTGTGGTATACTGTGATGCATCAATATCTGGGTTAGGAGCAGTGCTTATGCAAATGGAGCACGTGACAACGTATGCATCGAGGCAGCTGAAGCCTCATGAGTCGAGATATCCCACCCACGATCTGGAGCTGGGGGCTATGGTGTTTGCCCTCAAGATCTGGTGTCACTATATGTATGGGGTTTGATGTACATATACACGGACCACAAGAGTCTGAAGTACTTGATGGATCAACCCAACCTGAATATGCGCCAGAGGAGATGGTTGGATGTGGTGAAGGATTATGATTGTGAGATCCTATACCACCCGGGCAAGGCTAATGTTGTAGCCGATGCTTTGAGCCGTAGGACGTAGAGCGCCCTGATTCGAGATGTTTTTATGAGGTTGACAGTGATGACTCCGGTATTGGACACCATCCGAGTGGCCCAGGCTGAGGCTGTGAGACCAGAAAACCGAAAGATGGAGCGTGTTGTCGGGAAGGTATCGGAGTTCATTACCGATAGCTGGGGACTTATGACATTTCAGGGTCGGATTTGGGTACCGTTTGTAGGCGGGATGCGTACCATTTTGATGGAAGAGGCACATCGATCGAAGTTCTCGATCCATCCCGGGGCCACTAAGATGTATCTGGACCTAAAGAAGGAGTATTGGTGGCCCTGTATGAAAAGGGATGTTGCATGGTTCGTTGAGAGGTGCCTAAGTTGTCGCCAGGTTAAGGCCGAGCACTAGCATCCGCATGGTAAGTTGCAGCCGTTGTAGATTTCCAAGTGGAAGTGGGAACAGATTACCATGGATTTTATCACCAAATTTCCAAGGACTGCAAGGGGAGTCGATTCAATTTGGGTGATTGTGGATAGGTTGACGAAGAGCGCTCATTTTCTTCCTATCAGTGAGAGCTCTTTTGCTGAGAAGTTGGTAGAGTTGTATGTGAGGGAGGTGGTATCGCGGCATGGGGTTCCGATGTTGATTATTTCAGATCGAGACATACGATTTACTTCCAGATTTTGGAAGAAGTTTCACGAGGAGTTGGGTACGAGGCTGCATTTCAGTACCGCATACCACCCACAGACGGACGGGCAGAGTGAGCGGACGATTCAAACACTCAAGGATATGCTCTGAGCATTTGTTTTGGATTTTGGCGGAAGTTGGGACACATATTTACCCTTGGCAGAGTTTTCATACAACAACATCCATCATTCGAGCATTGGTATGCCACCCTTCGAGCTGTTGTATGGGAGGAGGTGTCAGACCCACATATGCTGGGGAGAAGTAGGGCAACG